GGGGAGGGCAGCGAGGTGCCGGCGGGGCCCCCGCGGCAGGAGCGGGGGGTGAAGCGGTCGGGGGGCTGCGGGTAGGATGCTCCGGCCGTGCCTGGTGCGGAGGCCTCCGGCGCAGCATCGCGCTGAGCGGGGAGGGAGATGCTGATGGGAAACGCCAACAGCCTTATCTGTTCGTGGCGCTGCTGCTGGGTGGCGGCCGGGCAGCGCCGGCGCTGGTACCCGCTGTGAGCGCCCGCCCGCCGTGTGCCTGCCTCCGGCTGGCAGGGCTTGCCGCGGTGAGTAGCAGTGTTGAAGTGACTTCATGTTTGAGGAGGTGTGGGAAGGAGGGATCGCTGCTGTCATGGCTGAGGGGTTAAGACAAGCCTTAATATGGTGCTGTAACAATGAACGTCTGAGATTTGAGTTAGGGCCGTGCTCATCTTTGTTTACGAAGGGTATATTTTTGTAACATTTAAGTGTGCTGGGAGGTAAAAGGTGATGTGTATGTTGTTTCAGTGGTGGAAGCTAAGGGTTTTCTTGTGGTGCATCTGCTTAAGCTCTTGAACTTCAAGCTCTGTGTCATGCACGTTCAGAAATACCTGAGTAGGCGTGCAGTCCTTTGACTTGGAAACAACCTGTCAACTTTGAATTTAGCTCTGCTTTGAGGAGGGGGTTGAGAACCTCCAGAGGTGTCTTCCAGCCCAGGCTGGTCTGGTTTTTCAGTGCCTGCTGAGCTGTAGGTGGTGTCTCCGGGGTGTCAGGAGTCAGTGGTGCTGGGCTCACTCACATCGTGCACCAGGTGGGTGTCAGTGCATGGAGGGTCAAACCCTCCGGACCTGACTAACTTGTTTTGTTTTATGCTGTTTCTTCTCCCCAAGTATCTGAGGACCAGGTTGCTTATGGAGGGAGTAGTTTTGGCAAGTGGCCTGACAAGTTTGTCAGTCCAGTGTAAGTGTCTCTGCGTTATAAGCAGATATTCTGGGGTAGTAGCAATATACCTGTTGCTTCTAGCAGTTCATGGAAACAAAAAACTTTTGTTTTAAATGGCAAACACCTATACATCTTGATAGGGAATTTACTCTAATAGGCAAGGCAGGTCATTATTTTGATTCCTGGAGGATTTCTCATTTGAACACAAATGTCTTAAGTCTCCTGCTATGTAGGAAACAACTTACTACAGCATTTTAGCTAACTCCTGAGTAGAAATGTCATGTAACTGGTACTCATGATCAAGACTGAATGCAGTTTCAGATGGGCTGCCCACATTTATGTCTGTAACTAGAACTCTTTTCACCCCATTTTGAAGTGCCTACCTCTATTCAAAAGTGGATTCTTGTGCTTATATAGAAACCTTTGTCAACTTCCATTAGATTTGAACTGATGTTCATTGGTCTGTGTGTTATTCAACAGCTAAGAATGGATTCTTTATGTAACATTAAGATGTGGACTGACTGAGGAGAGCTAAGGGCAATATAACCCTTCAGATGGCGTGCCTCTGCCCGGCCCTGAAAATGCTGTAGCAGGATGCTGTGTTTAATTGCTGAATAACAG